GTTCTCCGACTCTTCGTAAACAGCGAGCAAACGATTTTTCAAGGTCTCATATTTATGTGTTCCTGGTGGATTAAGCACAATATCGCTAACCTGCTCGATGACTTGCTTGCCCAATTTCGGAAGCAACAAGTTAAACTTCGCTTCATCGCCTAATTTTTGAGAAGCTAGCACCGCCTCACACTGGGCGAACCATAATCGCGGCTGGTCGCACCAAAATTCCGGTATTCGCGATGATACGCTGATTGTTGCTAGTTCTGAACCTTCACGTAAATTTTCCTTCGCTTGTAAGACTGGTTTAGAATTGGTAGCCATCCTATATTTGTTCTTCAGTCAGGTGTTTTTTTTCAGTCGGGGTCACCAATATGTGGCGGACGTGAGGAGAAAATAATAAGGCTTTAATAATAAGCGTTTATTGAAGTGCGTATTGCACTTGCGAGACCAAGCGAGAGACTGTACAATCGATACATATTCGATCTATAATCTAATGTAATATCTATACTTATATATTATGCTCGTTACAAATCATATTACCTCATGTTACAATAGGTACAACGTATACAGAATAATCTACCAAAGTTTCATCACAATCGGATGAAAGGTTTAGGAACGCATAGAGAACAAACATACAAACATTAATTTTTATTTATATATAACATAGCTTGTTTTTAAGGATCGTGGCGTAATGAGAGATATCCATAGCCTATTCGTCCTTGTTAAGTAGGCTTTAAAATGCAAATCTGACAGTTTTTTTCATATTTGTTAAACCCGTATAACTGTTAGTTTTAGTTAAGTATAAGCGCGTTTAAATTTATCATAGTTACAGCAAGTATATCTAGATGAAAATATAAAATTATATTACACCAATTATTTCGCGCGCGTGAGCGTTTTGATTTCAACCACCAAAAATCTAGATTTAGTACTAGAGTTTAACTTGTAGCTTTGCTTCTATTAGTTTAAATGAAGCAAAAAAGTATAGTTATTCCACTCTTAGTATATGATTAAGCTATAAGATTTCAGTAATAAAATATAGAAATCAGTTTATAATTTGCAAAAAAAATCTGAAAAAACCACATCCCAATTGAGAGGATTATTCAAATAATTTAATTTAATTTAATAAATGGTATTAAAGACGAGTTATTTTTAAAACACAATTTAATTTAATAGTTATTTGTTTAAAATAATTTTATCTATACATATAATAAAATTCTAACGGAGTCGAATCTGTACATTAAATATTTTTTGGAAAATATTGTTGAAATAATTATAGAAATAGAAGCCGAATCTATAGTTTTTAGAATTTTTGTCTGTCTGTTCGTCTGTGAACTCATCACAATAAATATGCATTAAATATGGATTTAAAAATATTTTATTGCAAACTAGTGATAAAAAAATAACTTTTCCTTCTCATTCCACACTTTAAAAACTTTCTTCAAGAGTAATCGCTTTTTAAATCACTTCTGTAAATAACAGTACACCCGAGTATAACCAGTAGAGCAAGTTCTTGTCTAGACAGGATGCTATACAAGTGAACGATCGTGACTTTGTTCGCAAGAATACATAAAGTACCAAAGTCTCTACCATTTACAATAGCTAAGGGTAGACATTTCTCATATTTATACACATTTATCCAACCAGAAAAAGCTTTCAAAAGCTCTTCATCTACTGGCTGATTTTTACTATTATATATTGTTAATGTATTGTATCTCGATTTTTAAAGAAATAGTGGAATTTTTTGCCTGTAATGGCTCATACATAGGCCACAAAAAGTATCTTTTTTTTATTTTTTAAAATTTAATTGAATAATGTATCAATTTTATATTAAAATAACTGTTTATACGATGAAATATTGTAAAGCTCTTGTGGCGATTCCTAATTGGTTATACATCTTGTAACTCTGTAGTGCTATTCTGTTAACTAACTCGACAGCAGAATCCGCGAACATACTTCAAGTATATCTATACATATACTACTATAATAAAAAAGTAAACTTTGTAAATAGGAGGCAATCTCTGGAACTACAGAACTGATTTCAAAAATTCTTTCACTAATAGGAAGCTACATTATCCTTGATTTTAGAATGTTTTCAGGTTTAAATCTTATTGATAAATCTTATATTTGCTAATCAAGAAAGATTTAAATGCGCTACTTGTCGTGTTGCCTGTATATGAAAATAATTAGGGACAAATATATAATTAAGAATAAACTACCGGGTTGAATAGAGTGTAAAAAAGAACATCAAATGTTTTATATTTATATTTAATTTTACTTACTAAAAATTATATAATTGAATAATGAGTAAAATAATTATTATTAGAGGGGAAAAAATCAAATGATCATCAATTTATTCATATACAAGTATAATTATAGCGTTTTAAAATTTTTAGTATTATAGTAATTCATTTATTTAGGTTTTATATAAATTAGAGCTTAGTATATAGAATAGGTTATCCAATATTTTCAAACTAACCTCACTGACCTTTTATAGACCGTTACACCTGATTGGGTAAGTATTAAAATTACTATTAGTTACTAAACACTTTGAACTTTAGAAAGTTCAAGTACCAATCTATGCATAGGCATAATAAAATTTTGATTGAATCAAAGATTTATGTATAGTGTATACTATATAATATGTAGTGACATTAACACACAGCACCAGTCGTGTCGAATTTTGTCGTTCCATTGAACTTTGAAAGTAAAAGAAATAGATAGTGCATGTTGTATTTGCGCGCACACTTGTGCACCTAAATATCTCCTGCACAGTTGGCTACTTAGTCTCAGCGAGATGGCCACCGTGGCTGGAATCAGCAGAGAGGACATCATCAGTACAAACTAGCATACAAACACTGATAAGAGAAGTTAAAACACAACACTAAAGGACGAAGAACACAAAAGGTTTAAATAATATTGCTTCATACAGAAGAAATAGAGAGAAAACCTTATTCAAAAGGTCACTTTTAGTGCCTTATATTTTTAAAATATATTAAAATACTTAGCCGATGCAAAGCAAATCTAATATACCTATTTCGATACGTAAAACACATATTTACCTATTTAGATATTCATATCTTAAAATATTCTCCGCTGGCACCGACTTAGAAAATATCTGATTAGGTATCTATTCTAAATGAAAACCTCCGTTTAGTTATTTTTTACATTTTAGTGCCTGGGAGTCGGTTTTATTTAAAAAAAAAGTTTTTATTTTTATATTTTTAGTGTAGACGTAATAAGCAGGTAATTTGTAGGAAGAAGCTTTTTAATAACATATTCGATTTAACAATTTGTTTAAAAATATATTTATTGTTGATTTTTTTTAAAACCGCTCGACCGATTTCGATAAAATTTATATGGGACCACCTAGGAAGTATACCCTTTCAAACAAAACAAAAAAATCCAATCCAAATCGGTTCAGGCGTCTTTGAGTAATCGGTGAACATACATAAAAAAAAGATTCCGACGAATTGAGAACCTCCTCGTTTTTGGAAGTCGGTTAATGAGTACACCACACTCTGTGATAGTCTTTTCTTAAAGAAAGTAGCAGTAATGATATCATTCTTATTGATTTAGACTAGCAACTTACCCTCGCTTCGCCCGCGTGCGTCCCTAGGTAGGTGGATTTTGCTTGCAATTAATAAAATTTGATCAATTTAATTATTATATATATTAATTTAATTATTACTGCAATAATTTAATGTAATAAACGTGTGTTTTAATTTTTTTGCGCGGAACCCTGTTTTTCTTTTGTCTAATATAAAAGTAGCCTAAGTTACTCCAAAATTATCCAAATAGTTGTTTCGGAGATTTGCCAGAAGAAACAGACAGTCAATTTTTTTATTATTATATGAAAAATCATACTTTGAGAAAATAATTAACTCGTAGCCATAGAATAGGGAAATAACCGAGAAATTTTAAACCCAACTTGAGGTATGCCAGTTAAAGCACTATATAGATTTTATAGAATATATTTAGATGCAATTTAAAGTGTCGTAATTTTTAACGAGTGTTTTTCCCCTCCTCGCCCGTGGCTCGGAACCATTAAGTGGAGACATAGCTTCCGCTCGTTAATTCGTGCTATTGACGAATGCTTGCTTGTTAGAGTTTGGGGGTTGGAATGACTTAATCTTAATACGTTGTCTGTGAAATATGGACAGTAATAAGAGCAAAGCGGATAAGATATTTAATAAATTTTTATTTCTTCTTTGAATATGTTTTATTAAAAGAAAATTTAAACCACCTCTGAAAATATTATCGCTGTATCATGATGAAGCTTACCTGTGATGTGATACAGTTGATGGTGTCAGTATGACAACTAATTATAATTATGAATAGTGAACAAAGAGAAAACTTTAAACTTGCTTCACGTAACTAATGTGATTAATACAATTTTAACCTACTTTAAGTTATTAAATAAAACTATCTTTTCGGATTATTTCGCGGATTTATTTTGATTTTTGGTTCCCGACGTTTCGAATACTTTACAGCATCCATGGTCACGGGAGAGACTGAGGTGTTACATGTCTTGAATGTATAGTTGTTACAGATAGCCTACCCACAATGATCAAAATGAAAAATGCACCAATTCCATTACAATATTTTTAACTTTAAAACATTTTTATTCAAGACATGTAACACCTCAGTTTCTCCCGTGACATGGATGCTGTAAAGCATTCGAAACGTCGGGAACCAAAAATCAAAATAAATCCGCGAAATAATCCGAAAAGATAGTTTTATTTAATAATGTCAAACATTCGCGTAAATCTAAGAAAGTACTACTTTAAGTTATTAAATTAAGATGCAAATATAATGATTTCACACCATTGAGTTGATTTAATGATAATGCCATCCCAATGCAGTAATAATGAAATCCCTTCAATTTGGGCGTATTTGCTTAGTTTTGATATTAGTCCATAATATTGTACATGGTCAAAAGCCTGACACTTTGTCATAGTGATGTGTATGATAATGTATTATATGATCTACATTTATATAAATCTACGCAGATATCAAGAAACAATTTGCACATCAACCACAATCAGTGACGGTGGAATCGGGACGTCAAGTTAGCTTTCGCTGCAGTCCGCCACCGGCGGCACCACCTGCTACCATCAAGTGGATGAGGAACGGTGCCCCAGTGGAGGCTACTGATGAAACCCTCGTGCTACCAAGAGTTGGTTTGCAAGTAAGTATGTATATACCTTATAATATTAAGTGCAAAATGTTTGTGTTTAATGCTTTCTTAGATGTATGCAAATATTAGACTTTTCACAACAAACTACTTTTTCGTTTTTTTTTGTTTTTTGATTATCGGGAGTCTGACAAGGGATTTGAAATGTCGGGACCCAAAAATCAAAATTAATCCGAAAAAATAGTTTTAATAAAATGTTTGTTTTTGTTTGTCTATCTTTTACGCAACCAATGATTATTTTTAGCTCATTTTACGCGATGGTAATTTTTTTATGATTTTTTTTTGTAAACAAAAATATACTTTATTTAGAAGAAAAGAAGAAGAAAAGTAAAACAAGGAAATTAGGTATATACTCTGTATTGATTATATGTATAATAAAGAATCGTATCCGCTAAGAATTTTGGCAAGAATGTTATGCTGGTTGTAACATATCAATCTTTTGCAAGATTTTTTAACGTTTCTATGTAGTTAGTAGTAAATTAGTTTTTTCTAGTGATTTTCAGTTAATTGAAATAACTTCTGTGTTTTCATGGTAATCATGTCGGAAATGATTCGCACATGAAAATATAAGAGGTGCGAGACCCGGGATTTGAACCCACTTCATTGGGTCACCCAAGCGAGCGTGTACCACTGGGCTACCACTGCCTTAGTACACTCTATAACTTAAAATATAGTGAACTGTAAAACGCAGTGCAGTTCAGATTAAACAATCTGGTATCTTTTTGGATATTATCCAAGGAACCTGTGAAGGCGTTTTATGTTCTCGAGTGCCTTTAATATTAAGATGCTAAGCGTAAGTGTTCGTGGAGTTATTTGCTAAATATGAATGCTGTAAACACGTTTTGAACACTGTTGTGTAAATAAAAAATATATGCTCGAATTATAATGTGGTAGCAAGTTTGTTTATTTTTAATATTAAGTGAAGAAAGATATGATATTTTAAATGAATTCAAATTTTTGTTAATAGCTTTAAAACGTGACCGTTGGTTTTTTTTAAATATTTGAGTACCTACTTAAAGTAATAAGCAAAAGACTGCTTGGAATAAATTAATATTTGCCCAATTTAGGAATCGAACTAACAATTTTACTGTAGAAATTAACGCAATAAACCAACATTGATTATGAAAATTAAATGATAAAATTATATAGAAAATTTGGAAGTTATAAAATCTAACACATTTGTATTATTTTGTTTAGGATATGGCAAACTATTCATGTGTCGCTGAAAATATTGCTGGGAAACGAGAGTCAGATGTTGCCATACTATCCGTATATGGTAAGTATTACATATTTACATACAAATACTTTTTTTATTAATAATTAAAGGCTACAAAAAAAGAAACAAAAACTGAAGGTTTGATTGAAGGTTAGATTTAAATTACATATCGTACTGGCTCTTTTTGTAAACCAATTTTTTAATGATTAATTTCCACTTCAAGAAAAAACACAACCCTGAAGCGAGAAAAAATATTTTTAAGGAGATTTTTGAACCAAAAATACATTGACAAGAAAAAAGTATTTTTAATGTATTTTTATAACACTAAAAGTATAAATAGACCATAAATACTAGATACGTGTATAGAAATTCAGGGTTTAAAAGCGGCCCTATCGCTTAGAGTGATCTCTTCCAAGAAACCTATACTTGTAAAGATTGGTGCATGGATGGAAAACAAAAGGGTAAAAACAAAAGAATTTACAAAATTACAATAAACTTATTAAAAAAGTACATATAATAAATAACACAGTAATAAAATTATTATTAATAATTATAAAATTTAACAGTTAACGGTGGCTGGTCAGACTGGTCCCCCTGGGCCCCCTGCAGGTGCGGGGCCCAGACTAGTGGAAGAAGAAGAACTCGAACATGTACGGAACCTGCCCCTGCTAATGGAGGTGCCCCATGTAGGGGGCAAGGTTCACAGAGCGATGATGACTGTTTAAGATGTCAAAACGGTAAGAAAATAAATAACTTTGAGTCTCCGCAGGAAAAAGTTTATATTTTTTAAATTTATTTATATTATATTTATTTATTTTATACCACCAATAGGGAAACGGACATTGCTTAAAAAGCTTATGAACATAATTAATTAACATTATAATTTGTATGGTTAATATAAACTTTTGCTTTAGTCGAGACTCGAACAAGTAACCTTCGAAATATTAATTTTTATTATGTATTTCTATGCCGGATAACCTACATTTTGAAACGCGCAGCGTGATTAAGACCGTCGTTGTAGTTTTTAAATAATAATATAATGGTGATATTATTAAGTAATTAAATTTTACTTTAGAGTTTTTATCTTCAAAACCTTTTAATACAAGTATTTATATAAAAAGGTATTTTACAAATGCGATATATTTTTTATTTTTTCTCTAGATTTTTATAAATAAATACATGTATATAGAAATACTATTCATATTATGAAAGTATTTCGTATATTTTTAAGTATTTTTATACAGTTTTTTTTAAATATGTATATTTACGATTAAGTGCGATTTCAGTGACTATGTACTTTTTAAATACTTATGTTACAAAAACAAGACAGGCGACAATATGTAATGACCGGCTTTTATTATTTATTGTTATGTTATAGTAGCAATAATAATTAATACATATTCTGTGAAAATTCAACTCTCTACCTATTACGATTCATGATACAGCCCTCTGACAGACGAACGGACGGACAGCGGAGGCATAGTAATAGGGTTTCTAACGGAACCCTAACAAGATAATAATATTTATACCAAAATACCCTTTGCTCTTAGGTTCTTGGTCACCCTGGAGCGTTTGGTCAGTGTGCAGTGAAGAATGCGTCAAAGTTCGTCGAAGACAATGTATTGGGACATGTCCGGGCTCTACTTTGCAACATGCTACTTGCGTTGACGGCCTCTGTTCAGCGGGCTTCAGTAAGTTTAGACCATTTTATATATGAATACGTAAAATATACATAAATTTGAAACTGTAATAGCAAAATGCCTACAATATTGAGCTGTTATACGATTGTAAAAAACCATTAAAATGTGTATATAATATGTCCATTCCATCCACTTATCTCCGGAACGATTGGTCCAATTTATACGGGAGATAACTTTTGAAGGATACGGTGTATTCGGATGAAAATGACACAGTAGTTTGTGGGATAGAGGATAAAAACGACTGAAATTTTAAGTGTTAGGAATTCAAAGTTTTAACTACATACATACATAAGTACAAAATTAGATAATATTTTAATAGAGACGTTTAAATTTTATATCTTTTTATATTAATTTAATAGCAAAGCTTAAAAAAAAAAAAAATTATTATAAAAAACCTAAAGATGATTTAAATCTTTTTATCTGATATTCCCTGAAAATCCAAACAATACGTTAAGAAGTAAATGGAATAATAGACAATAACGGAATCGCAAACAACGTTGGAAACCGCTGTCTGCAAAGTTTCTCACCATTGAACACTTCTTCTCAATCTTTTTATATCATTGTATATCATTGTGCTATTAAGAATGTCATATTTAATTAGTTATTTTACTTTATAATGAATCAATCGGCTGTAATTGGCAGTTTTTTTGTATCTAACAATTATTTCATGGTTGGCATTTAATAACGAGTTTGCCAATTTAATTATATCCTTTAACCAATTTGTTTTACCTCAGTAGCCATTTTATTGATTATCCGACACAGTACCTTGTGATTTTCAATTATTAACATTAGATTTAAACTAGTTCTATTAGAGCAAACAGGAAACATGCTCGATCCATCTTTCGATTAAGTAACTTTTTGTAATGGGATTATATACCATGGGAACTACTATAATTTTAATAATTATAATTAGGTTATTTACAACGTCCCATCCCTAAGGCGTAATCTCATTGTGAGAGGGTCCACAATTCACCACGCTGGCCACGAGGTGCGAGATCCGGGATTTGAACACGGGTTTACCAAGGGAGGGCAATACCACTGGATTTCTTATACTGTACATGTATTACTGTATGTTTGTTGTACTGTACATTTAAACGTCCTGCTGCTAGGCACGGGCCTCTGGGATATGAACCCGCTTCATTTTACACCCGCGAACAACCCAATTCCCAAGCGTGTTACTAATGCGCCTGCCTTATTATTATTTACTATATTTTATAATCTACACTTAGAAGTAAAGTAATTACCGGTAAACTGATATTAAGGTCAGTGTGATATAAATATCAATATGTTTTAGGGCTCTACAAAAATAACTTGACTCTATACGTGGGTATCGGCATCACAGTAGCCATGTTGGCGGCCGGCGCAGCTATTCTCTATGTATGGTGCAGATATAAGACTGTGAGGCCAGGGTATACTCCAGCTAGGACAGGTGAGTGAAAATTTATTATAGATTATTTTTTTCTTTTCTTTCTTTTAAGGATTTTTGAAGTGAAAACTTTTTTGGCCGCGTTGAGTAGTTTTTGGTTGGCGCAAAGCTTATGGGTTCGTGTCACTGACATGCTACGTGTAACATGTGACGTATCGACGCGCAGTATCATATGTTTTGATTAATAAATATTTATTATATATATCGAAATGTAAATAATTATTGCTCGGAGTGTCAATGGATGTAAAAACCAGGCTAATAATAATTTCAATTTATAATTTATGAAATTTTAATTATTCATACTATAATCAATTTAAAAAAAAGTTATTTCCAAAGTTTTCACTTCTATCGGCAGTCCCCATGACTGTCTATTGTAATTTTTTTAATATAATAACCTTTTAATATAATAAGTGTTCCTATATTTTCGCGTATATTTTATAACTAACGCTTGTTAAATAAGATTAACAGAGAGAATCGAGATATTGTTTTTTATTTCCTACCACTTTCTAATTCTATAGTATATTCTAATAGGTAACGTGTTTAACGTTTGATTCTCATTTCTACAATTAATTTATAATAAAAGATATTGATATTATAATTAAGCAACTTTTAAACAGGTATTCCAAAGACATATTCAGGAAGAGACAAAGGTAATACAGCACCAGATTTGACTCGCACTTGTAACGAATATTGGATGCGACCAGACAATCATTATGACATGCCTCAATTGAGGGATAGGTAAGCTTATTAATCTACACTAATATTATAAATAGAAAAGATTTGTATTTTTATATGTTTGAAACGAATAAACTCAAAAACTACTGGACTGATTTAGATGGAATTTAGTAAGAAGATAGTTTGAGACATAGTTATATGAGTATATACATACAGTCCTATATATTATATATACATACATTTTTTAACAAAATATGTAAATATATTAAATTAAAGTTTATAGTATAAATTTTCTTTTAAAATAGCTACGCATCGCCATTCGGTAACCGAAGTAGGCAACAGTCGTCAGCGGGAAGTAACCACTACGAGATGAAGCCCTACAGCCCTTCTGGGGACTCTGCATCTAGTTGTTATACAAATTGTGAGTTTATTTAAATTTAACTCAAGTTTTGACAGTTTCTTAAGGATTTTTTCAATTAGTTTAATAAAGTTTTTTTCATTATACTTCATCCCATTTTATTTTGTTTATCAGTCGATATTTATTATTTTTTAGTATTAAGTAGTCAACTGACCATATATTTAAAAGGTTTTTATTTTTTTTATAATTTTAAACATAAATACTTTTTTTGAAAAATTAAATAAAATACATAATATGTACATATATTTAAATAAAATAGTAAAATTTTACATTTAAAAGTAAAAAGATATGTATCATATTCAATGAAAGTTAACTTATTTTAACTTATTTTTTCAACTTAATTCTTGATATATCGATAAAAAAACACTTCATTTGTGATCTTTAATTCCGAAGCAAGAACAATGACGTCACGATCCAGCGAGTGCTCATCATCGCAGTTGGCTGAGCTGGTGACGTCGTCGCCCACCTCCCACTCGAAGGTGGACGTAGCTGTGACTCTCCCCCCAGGGCCTTTAGATAATAGCTATAGAGATAAAATTTGTTTAACCATAGTCAAATAGACTGATTCATTGGCATTTATGGTACACTCATGGGGTCCGTATGGTGAATTATTGATTTGATAATTTTTACATGACTAGTAACCGGTATCTTAATAATATTGTAAAGTTTGTTAGTTTGTGAGATTGTTTGTAGGAAGTAATCTCTGGAACTACTGAACTGATTTAGATGAAATTTGGTAAGAACATAGTTTAAATCCCGGGAAGGACATAGGATTTATTAGTTTTTATCCCGGAAATCATCCCTTGAGGAGAAGAAAATGTGGATAAAAGTTTGTATTGGGAATCAAGCTAGGGATAAACCCGAGCGAAGCGAGGGTGAGTCGGTAGTACTATGATATGACTATGAATGTTATCATACTATTGAGTTAATTTCCAATGATTTAAAATCAGCTATTAGTAAAAACAACTTTAAACCATAATAACTAACAATTATACAACGAATGTGAAATACGAATTTCTACCATAATATTAGTATCTACTATCTATATATATTTTCAGGTATTTTATTTATTTGACCAAAAAAATTGCAATAAAATATTATACGGCATGTTAAAGTTTATACAACTCGCAGATTGTTTAAATGTACCGATATATGTTTGAATCTCAAACGATTGATCCACAAATACCTTAAAATTCATCATCTTTGGTACATATTGTCTGTCATCTTAATTTATAAATGAATATCAATTCTAATATATGAAAAATAAATTATTTACGAAATTAACCCTATCTTCCACATAAAAAATAATATTATGAAGTTTTTTTCAAGATATAAAACAGTTTCGCTTACCTCAAAAGATTTTATAAAGGCCCCTACAGTGTGACCATGTCTTAAAGTTGTTAAACGAGCTTTCCTGTATATGTTAAGTTGTTTTCATAATTATAAAGTAGTGTAACACAATACTGTATTGTGATTAATTTATTTCAGTTTTTATTATGTATTTTTATATTTATTTATATATTCTAAATAAGAATAAGTATGCCGAAATAAAAGTATTTAAATAATAATAATAATATAAAATAAAAGTATTTTCTCTGTACATCAAATTTAATGAATGTTTGATGTACAGAAGCAACATGGCTATTAAAATAAAAATAACTATATAAATAAAATAAATGTTCAGTTTGCTTATTAAATTGCTAATAAAATATGAAAGTTTCTAAATTATATTTTTCGCTTCGCATTTTGTGAGCTACCTTCTTTATATATTTTATAAGTTTTGTTCCTATTATATGAAATTGATTCAATACTTATTATCAAATTAAAGTGTGGGATATCGAATTATTAAGATAGTTTTTTTATAAATATACCAACTTTAAAGAGGAACGGTACTTACTCAGTTAAATATTCGTTGTATGTACGTTACGCGATATCTACCAGTATGCCAAGTATGGCTTATAAGGTAGGTCTAAATTTCCGAAACAGATAAATTATTCCTAAAGCATAATTATACATACAAGACATACATATGTATGTAGTTATAATAGAAGGTAATACTATAGTTTTTTTGATATCTTGTCTGTTTGTGTTCTAAATGACTTTTATTGCTATGTGTTTTTTTATTGGAAATGGGTTTACTCTTGACCTTCGCCTTAGTAAATAAATAATAGCGTTAGTATCATTTAAATATCTGTGGACTGTTTTGCATATAGTAGTTTCGGACGAAATTTTAGACGCTCAGAGAGACACGTTGTTACCAAAGTTTAAGTGAAATATGAAATTAATGTTAGGAGTCGAAATTCGATCATAATCATTATTGAAAATTTGAAAAAAACATGTATTCAGCCCTTTTTAACGTCCCACTGCTGGGGGTGGGCCTCCCTTCAATACGAGGGGGATCAGGCCATAGTCCACCACGCTGGCCAAGTGCGGGTTGGCGAACTTCATATGTCTTTTGGAAAACTCACTATTGAGAAAAGCATATATGAATAGAATTTCCATTTTTTTAAACTCCTCAATAATTACCAAACAAAAAAAAAAGAAAATTGGTTGACAAACAAAGGAAAAATAATACTGAACTGTTGTCTTTTTATTTATATAAATAAATATATGAAAATGATTCGATATCCTAGCAACATTTGGGGTACATAATACTTACTTATTATATGTATATATTTTATTTCGATAATGTTTCTTCATTTGCGAAGACTGAATAAAATTCAACGAGCTAACGCCAACTTAAATCGCATTTACATATTGCCAAGATTTTTTAAGCCTTGTATACAAATTGTAAATATTGTATTTAAAACTGTGATATTTTATAAATAAAATGTGTACAAATGGATGAGTGGTTTTATTGATTTGCCTGTCTTAAAGATAATACATACATAATATTATAATATAGGACCAAAGTTTTATTTGATAACTTTTATAATTTTACTAATGACTTACCCTCGCTCTGCTCGGGTTCATCCATAGATACGTTTTGACGATTAGTATAGATTTCTCAGAGATGAGATATTTTCCCGCAGTAAAAAGTATCCTATATGTTGACCCGGATAACCAGTTATCATCATACCAAATTTCATCAAAATCTGTCCAGTAGTTTTCGCGTGATGCGTTCCCAGACAAACAGACAGACTGACACATAGACAAACTAAAATACTAAAAACTATAGATTCGTCTCTGTATCGATAATAATGACTATTTTAATGAGATTTACCAAAAAATATTTAATGTACAGATTCGACTTAGAATTTTATTATAGCTTAAGAAAATAATCATAATAATAATAATATTAATATAATTTTACTTTTATACACATTAATAAAAATATTAGCAAAATGTTAAAACTAAGAACTAAGTTTTCACTTAATTTACGATCTATTTAGTTAGAAGAACATTTTCTATTCTAATACAATATAAGTACTTATAGATCGCACTAGTCATTATGTTTTCCACTTTTATACGTAGTGAATACCTTATACATGTATTATGTACATAATAAGTACTCATAGAATTTAAGAGAGAGTTTAATGGCTACTATTCATCCACATATACTTTTGCAACAAGTTTATATCTAAAACTAGCGGATCACTCGCTTTCTTTCGCTCGGGTTCCTTCTTAGGTACATTTTAACGGTTAGTATGGAATAGATAAATTATAAATATTATATATTGTATAGTCTATAGCCTTCCTCAATAAACGGTCTATCTAATGCAAAAAGAATTTTTCAAATCGGATTAGTAGTTCCTGAGATTAACGCGTTCAAATAAACTCTGCTTTATTATAATATTAGTATAGATATAACCTGTAGACTAATTTTGACCAAGGCGGCCAATCTCACTGAGAATAGCCATGTGTTTAGGAGATATTATAGTGCATAAGGACGCGCGCAAACACAAGTGCACAGAGAGTGCCCGTGCACTCTATTCTCTTAGATCTATACTATTCTCATTGTCGGCGACGGAAAACCTATCTTCGAGTAACGTGTGTATTAATATAGGGACAATGTCTGTCGGCGACGGAAAACTTATCTTCGAGTAACGTGTGTATTAATATAGGGACAATGTCATTTTAGCGTATTATGAATAATTGTTGTAAATATGAAATCTCATTCTTATTAGATTTATTATGTTAAAATAAGTTCTAATTAGTGTAATAAGGTTAGTTTAGAGTATTTTTTGCTTATTTGAATCATATAAGACTATTTAACATTAATTTGAAAGGAATAGGTACGTAAGTAAAATGTTAGCATATAATTACGTAACTTGAAAATGAGATTTTTTGTTTCTTGCAATAGCATAATAGTTTATGTTTTAAATAATAGATTTTATTATAAAACTTATAATAAAACAAGAATTAGGTCGATAGGACTATCCGTTCAAAAGTTATAAGGGAAAATGTATAGTAAAAATGTAGCAACCTAGAAATTTAGATATTTTTGTTTTAAGACTTTTTTAATTAATTATTATATATTGAATATTATGTTTTAATATTGTATAATAGTATGTAAGGCATGTAAATAAATAAATATGTGTAAGGTGTTTTACTGAAAACATAAAATAAAAGGACTCTCAAGGTTTCGGTTTAGGGAAATTTTATTCGAAAAACGAGCTCAAAGTACGCGGCTCTCTGTAAGGTATTAACGGGCCAAATAAAAGGCGAGCCATTTCTCGATTCGAGTCAGTCGCAAGACAGCCACCGAAGAGGCAACAACTAAAAGGAAAAGGAAGAACCGAAACCAAGAGAGAAAAAAGGAAAAATTGTGTTTTATTTCATCGCCTCTAAGTATAGTCTCCTGTCAACGAAGAAACCCTAGTGGATCGGGACCCAAGCTACGCATTCAGGGGTGCGTGGTGGCGTACATTACCAGCGAACGGACATACTGCCGTGTACGCCAAGAACGTCTGGGAGATTGTCCCAGGTCGACCTCCGGGTACTAGACATACCCTGGTTCTGGTCGTCCGAAACAGTTGGTCCTTCGAGCCGGATCCCTGCTAGAAGAAGTTCAGAAGAAACAGAAGATTGCGTTCAAGATGCCGGTAACCAGGTCGCAGAAGGATGCCCCCTCACGTCCCGGGTCCCGTCCTTCAGATAGGGACGCGACAGATGGAACGTCGGGATCAGAAGGGGTCACGTCAGCGTCGGCGTCATCGGGAACTGCAACTACATCGAACACTTCTTCGGGTACCACGACCACGGAGGGCACCACAGTGACGGAGACTACGGTTACGACTGCAACTACGGCGGCGTCTATGGAAGGCAACAAAGAAGATGCTGCACAGAGGATGACCAGGAAGAGCCAAGAAGATGTACCTGGAAAGGATGTTCAAGGCTCCTCCAAGACCCTGAAACCGATGGGGGTCAGTCGTCGCGCCAGGTCCACGAAGACCACGAGTTCCTCGGCCAGAAGACGCGAGCTAGAAGCAAAGGAAGAGTTGGCACGCCTGGAGTTGAAGCAAGCACAGGCTGAAACTAAGCTAGCCCGTGTCAGATTGGAGATGGCACAGTGTGAAGAAGAGGACTCCGTGGATGAAGACCTGGAAGACAGAAC